CTCCTGCAATTTTCGCCAAATGGCGGACAATAAGAAGGTAAACAGCAATAAAGGGAGAGGTGACGAACAATTGTCACGAAGGATGAATGGAGGGATTTTTCACGAAGCCGAGAAACGTGGACTACCGAATCAGCCAATTGTTCGATCGTTTCGCATTGTTATTTTTCTAATTCACTGTATCCTCGATCTTGCTGGCTGGCGACGGCACCGTGTTGTTTTTATTGGCCGCATTTAGGGAACGCGAAAGGGACCGGCAGGAAAAAGGTGGTCCAGTACATCTATGCACTAAAGAAAGAGGGGTGAAACCGATGGGAACGGGGTGTTGTTTCATCCCTCTTCGTCTATTCTGTTCTGGAGCACCTACGTTTGCTGCCTAAAGCGGTACCGTGGCTAGGATAGGAGAAAATAGGAGAGGAGAGACTCCATTCTGAAAAGTAAAGCTGCATTCACATCGATGCAGTCCGTATGATATAGCGAAGTCGTGAAATTGTTAAGATGTTAACGTTTGTTGGTGTGATAGTAACTGATGCAACTACACATATGTTAAAATCGATAAAAGAAAATAGTTATACAAGTTTTAGTTCCTTGTAAAAATATTAAGTTACAATATCTAACCTAAAAAAGTTAGCTTGATTTGTTTTGCTTTAATTAAAACAGTGTTCTTGTATAAAATGTTTTGTAGTTTTAAGAGTACAGTCAAAATAATTACTAATAACAATATTATGAAAGACAACACCTTGAAAGAGTTTCAGTCGTTGTAAGCTTAAGTGTACAAAAAATTGTAATTGTTATAAACATATATATCAACAATTGTGGTGTACTAATAAAAGACTCAATGAACTACCTATTATAAAAATTAAATAAGTCTGTTTAAATAAAAAAATTCTACAAGATTTCATACTGTTTCTTTTTGTTAAACATAAAACTGCAATTTACAATTTACCATTCCCCAAAATGATTGCAGGAAACTAATGAAATTATTACAAAACAGAAAATGGTCAGATAAAAGTAGTATAAAAGCAAATGATAATGAATAAAGTAGATAATGAAACTTAGGCTAGTTAGTAACATAGTGTCACTATATTTAAGTAATAACAAGTTACTGTATGTAATACAAATGACTCAATGTGAATGGGGTTTTAAAAGGGTGCAAGAGAAGAGGGAGAAAACTGGAGGTGGATGACTAGGAGGGTTGACAATACCGCAGTCATCCAATGTTATTTCAGTACAAATTCTCTCTCCCCTCCTTTTTCGCCCCTTCTTATTTCGCTCTTCTATCTCCGTCGTGTTTTTCCTCCGTCTCCCTTTTTGTCACCCCTTTGTCGCTCCTTTCACTCTTCCTTTCCTCCATCCTGTCGCCAGGAGATCGAATCTCCTCGTCTGCCTTCGACTATGTAAATACAGGAAATTTCGGATATTTCGCGCGATTGTTCGCTCGTTATGGCGTTCCGGCGCTAAATGGAGGTATTTTGTGAGGTGCTGGAGACGTTGCAGGGTGTTGGAACGCTGCGAGTTGGAAATTTGGGGAGTTGGGAATTTGGGGAGTTGGGAATTTGGGAATTGGGGATTTAGGGATTTGGGAAATTAGGTATTGGGGATTTAAGGATTTGGGAAATTAGAAATTGGGGATTTAGGAATTTGGGAAATTAGAAATTGGAAAAGTGGAAATTGAGAAAGTGGAAATTGGGAAAGTGGAAATTGGGAAAGTGGAAATTGGGAAAGTGGAAATTAGGAAAGTGGAAATTGAGAAAATGGAAATTAGGAAAATAGAAATTGGGAAAGTGGAAATTGGGAAAGTAGAAATTGGGAAAGTGGAAATTAGGAAAGTGGAAATTGAGAAAATGGAAATTGAGAAAATGGAAATTAGGAAAATGGAAATTGGGAAAATGGAAATTGGGAAAGTGGAAATTGTAAGAGTGGAAATGGGAAAACTGAAAATTAGAAAAGTAGAAATTGTAAAAGTGGAAATTGAGGACTTTCTTGAGGACGCATCTCAAGCTAGTTACATCAGCGCCAACCGTAGTCATCCATTTCCAAATGCAATCATTGTTAGTCGGTACTGCAGTTACCTCGTCGGATTTATCAGAAAGCCACGAAAGCGTAATCCCGAAAATTAGGCGTTCACTCTTCCGGATTGGAAGGAGGCTTCTTTGTGCTTGAAATATACCCCAGGATCCTGAACGAGTGGCATCTGTAATAACAACGTTCGCTCTTGCTGCTCTCCCTCTACGTGACTGCTACGTGAACGCTACGTACGATGGATTTCTGAAATTCCGATCAGCTGTGATTAATCGTACATGTTCGCGTTGATCACCAAGGAAAATCGTTTGAAAAATTTATTTTATACTTTGTAAGTTTGCTACAGTTCTTGGTTTATGGGTACTCGACTTTTGGGGGATTTGCCAAGTCCCAAATTTCTAAATTCCAAATTTGCTAAGTCCCCAATTTCCAATTTGCCAAGTCCCATATTTCCAATTTCCCAAGTCCCCAATTTCCCAAGTGCCCAATCTTCCAAGTCCCCAATCTTCCAAGTTCACAATCTCCCAAGTCCCCAATTTCCCAAATCCCAAATTTCCAAATCCCCAATTTCCCAAGTCCCCAATCTCCCAAGTTCCAAATTTCCCAAGTCCCCAATTTCCCAAGTCCCCAATCTCCCAAGTCCCAAATCTCCCAAGTCCCCAATCTCCCAAGTCCCAAATCTCCCAAGTCCCCAATCTCCCAAGTCCCAAATCTCCCAAGTCCCCAATCTCCCAAGTCCCAAATCTCCCAAGTCCCCAATCTCCCAAGTCCCAAATCTCCCAAGTCCCCAATCTCCCAAGTCCCAAATCTCCCAAGTCCCCAATCTCCCAAGTCCCAAATCTCCCAAGTCCCCAATCTCCCAAGTCCCAAATCTCCCAAGTCCCCAATCTCCCAAGTCCCAAATCTCCCAAGTCCCCAATCTCCCAAGTCCCAAATCTCCCAAGTCCCCAATCTCCCAAGTCCCAAATCTCCCAAGTCCCCAATCTCCCAAGTCCCAAATCTCCCAAGTCCCCAATCTCCCAAGTCCCCAATCTCCCAAGTCCCCAATCTCCCAAGTCCCCAATCTCCCAAGTCCCCAATCTCCCAAGTCCCCAATCTCCCAAGTCCCCAATCTCCCAAGTTCCAAATCTCCCAAGTCCCCACTCTCCCAAGTCTCCACCCTTCCAAGTCCCCACTCTCCCAAGCCCCCACTCTCCCAAGTTCCAAATCTCCCAAGTCCCCACTCTCCCAAGTCCCCAATCTCCCAAGTTCCAAATCTCCCAAGTTCCAAATCTCCCAAATTCCAAATCTCCCAAGTCCCCACCCTCCCAAGTCCCCACTCTCCCAAGTCCCCAATCTCCCAAGTTCCAAATCTCCCAAGTTCCAAATCTCCCAAATTCCAAATCTCCCAAGTCCCCACCCCAATCTCCCAAATCCCCAATCTCCCAAGTTCCCAATTTCCCAAATTCCTAACTCTCCTAACCTCAAATCTCCAAATCCAAAATTCCCAAAATTGCAAATTACTCTTCAATCCCTCTAATCAGGACTTCTAAACCAGTACCAAGTCTGGCAAATCTTAGCACCCCAGACGAAGAATGTAGTTACGGCAATGGCGACAACGTGGTCGCTAGTCTTTGTTGCGTTCAGTGGCGAAGAACGAGAAAAAGGAGGAAAAGAGGTCCCCTGTCGCCACCTTCTTAAAGCCAACAAAAATATTGTTGCACGTAAATATGTGTCCGCGATGAACCCCTCTTATCCTCGCATTTTCTTCCTTCGACTGTTAAAAGATAAAATTGTGATTGTCATCGGTCTGTCGTCAAGAACGAACGTCGAGGTTATTTGAAAGATGGATCTTGCGATAAATTAAGCTTTTATGATAATTATGTTAAATATTCTAGCAACAATGCTGGGTAAGTAAAATTGTCTTAATGTTCACGGTATCATGGGGTCATACACTTCAAAAAGTATGAACGAATAAACGAAGAAGTGATCCATTAGGTAGGAAGCCCCAGCTGACACACCCTGACGCTATCAAAACACGCCTTAAAACTTATATTCCTGCGTAACGGCGTAGTAGTAGTGGAAAAACTACGTACGTGAGATAAAATAACAGAGTGTAGTTAACAGGCTTGGGTAAAAATATTCAACCAGCTTCCACCACCTTCCCTTCGACTACTCTTTCTCTTTTCCTCTTCCAACGTCCCTTTTCTAATTTCCTCGTCTTATCTCTTACCTTTTTAGATTCTATAATTACACTGAATTTACTTTCTACGAAACCTTACGATTCGTACAATTTTGTCTTCAAGAATAAAATCATCTTTTATAATTACCGGTTTTATTCATGCAACTCCTTTGAGAACAACTTGGTGGCTTTCGTTTATTTAGTAATTTCAGTGACACAAAATGCATGTAAAAATTACTACTCTGAAGTTAGTTGTACTATCAAATACTTTGCTAAGGTTAAATAAACCAAGCAGCATTAATTGTACTAAAGAATAAAAAAAGGATTTAAGAAAATTATTTTAATGAATTACTTTATTTGTAACGTATTTAATATCTTATTTATTACAAAAATAATAACGGTTTCGGCGACCCTTTATTCTTCCATTTTAAAAAGACCGCCACTGTGGTGGTTCCGCTATGCACTCTATGCACACATGCAAGAACTGCATTAAGGTAAGTGATTGTTGGTAAAGTAGACTCCTTGATTCAAATGATAAATGTCTGTCGGTATCTTTAATTTTAATTCAATGCACTGTGGGCGCTGTAATATATAACCTGTACCAATTGATATAGTAGGATGTGATATTAAAATACGTCGCATTATTATACTTTGTCTATGCTTCTAATTCGACACAAAATTCTGTTGCATTAACGATCTACCTTATCATATTTTTGATGCTATAACTATACCTTTAAATTCACTCTCTATACCTATGATTACGATGTATTCGAATTTGTTATTTTTAGGTTTATTTATTTTTATGTTTAAACTTAATTAGATTGTTATTATTAACAAATATAATTAAGATAACTGAAACGAAGTACATATGTTATTTTTCGTTCTTGTTCGGTTTTCTTAAATGTTTGAAAATATCGCATGTACTTTTTAAAATATAGATATTGTGAATTGTGTTGACAGGTAACTTTAAAGAATTAAAGTAAATTATAATTAGACGTTGTTTCATACATTATGCGTAGTTATAATCGTAGTTATTTAAATCATTTAAGGAGAAGCGAGCGATTGTTGCGGTATTTATGTAGGTGATTGCACCTTGCACTAGCAAATATGCAATGTTTATTAAAATATCCAAAGCAACAATATGTTGTTTCACAAAAACTTAGTGTCCTCTTAAAATACGATGCAAGAAAGTACGGTGCTATTAAAGTTGTTTCCTCGAATATTAACCATAACAATGAGATAACTAGGTTATGTTTTCCAGTGTCTCATAGGGTAAGTGTTTCATCATTTCGATTTCATTCGGTTCACATAAAATGCTCATAAAAAATTTTTATCGCAGCTATACACAAAAATTTGTAAAGAATTGCGGGGATTCCAGTCATTATTCTTAAAAAATGACTTTTCTAAAACTTGTGCAAGAAACTTTAGCACTAATGCTACCAATAGGCAATCTTCTCAAGATTCCAATAAACAGTCTTCTAATGAGTCGAATAAACAGTCTTCTAAAGATTCCAGTGGAAATTCTTCTAAAGATCCTAATAAGGATGACTTTGACCCAATTGAATTGGTAGTTACAAAATATTTTCTAGTGGGAGTGCTTATGTTCATCACTTTGTACTGGTTTGTTATAGAGCCCATATATACGGTATGGTTTGATGCACTAATAATTTAATTTGTAGAATTTATTTCTAGAATCTTTATTAATTTCTATTTTATCAGGTGAATGCAGTAGGTTGGAACGATTTTGTAAATGACCTACTTCTAAAAGGAAAAGTCACAGAGATATATGTATATCCAGGCCTGTCTAAAGTTTCTGCAGTAGTTCGAACAAATGCTACCTTTAGGGGAAAGAGATTATTCCCAAATGTTACCATAACTGATGTGGTTGATGTTAAAGATATCGAAGAAAGAATTAGAGCCATAGAAAAACGTGTTGGCATTAGATTGGGTACGAAAAATTAATGAAATTCAATAGCAAATTCTATTGTGCTATCTTTAATTGAAAAATATTAACTTTTAGAGGATGGAATTCCCATTAGATACATATCCGACCCAAGTCCTTTAACAGAATTGATAATGATAGCTATACTTTTTGGTGTACCCCTCTTATTTCTACGTAGAAATAAAATGAGAGGCAAATTCAATTTCTTTGATGTAACAAAAGCAAAATTTACATTAGTAGAACCTTTTTCTGGTAAAGGTGTACATTTTAGTGATGTTGCTGGTTTAAAAGAAGCCAAAATAGAAGTTATGGAGTTTGTTGATTACCTTAAAAATCCTGAACGATACAGAAAACTCGGTGCTAAAGTACCAAAAGGTATATAATTTATGGTTTGGGAAATGTTGACTTTCATATGTATAAAGTTTAATTTATTTTTAGGAGCTTTACTATTAGGACCACCAGGATGTGGCAAAACGCTTTTAGCCAAAGCTGTAGCAACCGAGTCAAATGTTCCTTTTCTATCAATGAATGGATCAGAATTTATTGAAATGATAGGTGGATTAGGTGCAGCACGTGTCAGAAATTTATTTGCAGAAGCTAAAAAAAGGTTTAACCATTGCACATAAGAATAGTGTTGTCTGATTTATGATTATTTTATTTATTACAGAGCACCTAGTATTATTTATATAGATGAAATTGATGCAATAGGCAAAAAACGAGCAGATGGATTTTCTCAATCCGGTGACAGCGAATCTGAACGTACTTTGAATCAACTTTTAGTAGAAATGGATGGAATGACAACATCACAGGATATTATCATCTTAGCCTCAACAAATAGAGCAGAAGTTCTGGATAAAGCTTTACTAAGACGTGGTAGATTTGATAGACATATTCTAATCGATCTTCCTACTTTAGACGAAAGAAAACAGATTTTTGAATATCACCTCAACTCATTATCATTAGAAGGCAAAGCATCGCAATATGCCCCATTTTTAGCTCATCTTAGTCCTGGCTTTAGTGGTACTGTATACAATTATTATTCTAAATTCTTGAAACTTTTCTCTCTTCTATAATTTTATTTTAAATATGTTTGGGGTAGGTGCGGATATAGCAAATGTTTGCAATGAGGCTGCATTACACGCAGCGACTGAGGCAAAGACTAAAGTTGAGAACAGTGACCTTATGTACGCAATTGATAAAGTATTAGGTGGCACGGTAAAAAAATCTAGCACGTTAACACCTTCTGAGAAAAAAGTTGTAGTTTATCACGAGGCTGGTCATGCATTATCATCGTGGTTACTAGAACATATAAGTCCTTTAATTAAAGTAACAATAGTACCAAGGACGAACAAACGTTTGGGTTTCACTCAATATTCCGACGCGAATCTAAAACTTCGAAGTTCAGAAAATCTTTTTCAAAATATGTGCGTATTGTTAGGTGGCAGAGTCGCGGAAAATATAATGTTTAATAAAATTTCAACCAGAGCACAGAATGATTTGAAGAAGGTAACGGAATTAGCGTATCGTCAAGTTCAACAATTTGGAATGAGCCCTACTGTAGGTTTAATTTCTTTCGACAAAGAATATACAACTACGGTAAGATACATACACAAGTTTAAAAATAATATTTTATTACTGGATTAATGATATGATTTACTAATTAGAAAACAAAAAAGCCATATAGTAAGAAATTGGCAAGTTTAATGGATTTAGAGGTACGGCGAATAATTACAGAAGCATATAAAACAACTGAAAAGTTATTATTAGATAACAAAGATAAGTTGATAATAGTAAGTAACATTGATCAATTCCTAATAGTATCTTTTTCTCTCCATAGATGTAGTGTCCTCTCTCTCATCTTGCGATATTCTCTTAGAGAATATTGTTCATTTTCTTAGACAACTAGTATTTTGTAATATATGTATAATAGATATAACTTTTCTAAAATTACTTTTGTTTCTACTTATAGTTGGCTGAAGCACTACTGAAAAAAGAAACGTTAACGTATAAAGAAATAGAAGCATTAATTGGTCCGCCACCTTTTGGAAAAAAGGATGTTCTTGAAGTAGAAGAACTTGTTACAGAAGCAAAGTAAACGAGGATCGAACACACATACTGTTGTAGCTTATTTTGATTAAGATTTTTATGATATTAATTAATAATACGAAATATGATTTATATGTAAATTTTGTGAAATACTATTTACTTTGATACGTCTACAGTCATGCTACAGGTACCGAAAGTTCCATGAATAGCTTTTATATTAAAAAAATCTTATCGATTACTTGTACATTATTTCGTTATTTTTATTAACTAAAATTTCAAATATCTAGTATTAGTATTTTTAATTAAATAAGTCGCAGGAACTTTTAACTATTCAATGGATGGATTCCTATAAAAATTCAAGCGTTATTCACGTATGGATAATATAGTAGTCAACGTGTCAAAGGTATAATAAGTAATTAAAATTTGTTATTACATCAATTTATGTAATATGGCTGTCCTCGTTTCAGGTAAAACAATAACTTTTCAAAAAATATGAAACATAATGAAAGAAATACAACTTTATTTGGATAAAAAAGTAATTTTTACAAAAGTATACTTATTAGAAGAAATTAAATTCAAAACATAAGTCAAAATTAACTACTTTGGTTTAACATAAACAAAAATTATTTTAGACTTTTTATAGCGAAATAAGGCTAACTTAATATTTGAATTATGTGATAAATATATTACATGTATATATATATTTATATGTATTGTGTAAATATAACGAATTGCAATGTAAAATAATAAATCTTATAATTTAAAACATTCTTTGTTATTTAATACTGTAAAAGAATGGTTCTTGATGCTATAACGGAATTTATATGAAGTTTAGCTTATTAACAAATTCAACTTTTTCTGAAAATATTAATAATAATCGATAACAATAATAAGAATGAAAAATATATGTTTTTTTAGGATTATGTAAGTCTTTAAAGATATTAGAAAAGTTCTTAAATTTCTAAGTATGTACTGGTTTAACATAGCATATTGTAGGAACAGTCCTTACTGACAACATTAAATAAATAAAGGTAATTTTGATTTGTGCTTGCAGCGTGTTAACACTGCTTTGACACCGTGTTATGTTTAATGGTAACCAACATTCATTTGGAAATAATATCTTTGATAGTGTGTTTCAGCGTGCGTTCTATATGACTTCCATTCCAATAAACCTGTCCACAGTTTTCGCATACATAATAAACTTGTACATTTCTTAATACATTTATTGGTATTTTATTAATTTGTATTTGTTTTAAGTATCTTGTTAAACACGAGTCAATGAGCACAGTGTTCGTACTCAATATCCATGTACGATCCTCGCATTGCAAAGCATTGTTTGCATAATAATTATCTTGTACACTACTGTCATTTGCTGTACTTGCAAGTATACGATAATTATTCTCACGAGTTATTTTAACAAAGCTGAAAAATGATTAGAATTAGTTACAGTTTTTATACTTAACTATACTACTACTAAAAAACAAATTTATAACGCACTTTTTGACAAGTTTATCCATTACAGACTTGGGAACTTTAGCAAACTCATCACTGTTACAAATTTGGCACCGACTGAAAACGTCTCTCTGCGTAACAAGAACCCTAAAATATTCCAATACCTCCCGTAACTGATCGTCGGGACGATCGGCTATTACCAAGTAATATCTATTCGGTTTTAGATATTTTGAAAACTGTAAGATACAATTAAACGAATATATAACTGATTATTTATCAAATTCGTATAATCTATGGAAAATACATTTACCTGTAAATAATTCTTGTTACGAGTCAGAAGTACCCGGTTTTCGTTTACAGCTATTTTTAAAGATCGTTCTCCATTTTGATCAAAACCTACGTGAGCGCAATCACATCCACACATTCTTAACTTACTGGTTAATCCACCTAACATGGAATCACACACAACACGCCACTTATGTGCCGGCACCTGAAACTCATTTATCTTGATTTGATTTTGTGACGTTTCTATCATGGAATTTTCTCTCCTTATGTGATTCGGTTTATTTGCAAATTGTTGATTCCTTAAATGTGCTACTGGACCATTTGCTGTATTTGGATGCCTTGGATTGTTTGAGCGTATCGGTCTATTTGGATATTCCTGTTTATTTTGATGCCTCGGCTGTTGAAAATTTTCGCTTCTTGCTGGCTTGGTGCTTGTTTGCTGTTTATCGTTGTTCAATATTTCATTTTCCGTAACATTCATATGCAAATAGTACTAATTAATTTTTTTATTTGTGATACGAACACTTACATTAGGCGTAGCTTTTTTTGTATTTCGTTTCGGCGAGCGATGCGGAATATGTTGTATTTCTGTACAAATTTCAAGAAACGGTATATCTAAACGTTCACACTGCTTCTCTAAAACTCCATATATTTCCAACAGGCAATATGCGTCTAATGCTATGATAATAAAATATTATTATTAATATGTTTGATTTAAAAAGAAAACTAAAACCATATTCATATATAATTTTTACATCTATATATAAAAAGTAACTATACCAGCATATGTAATTTGACCACTCCGTAAAGGTCTTTGTTCCCAATTAGAAAACTGATCAGATTTATTTAATTTTTGTCCAAGACAAAGTTCTACAAGTTTACTCAAACTTTGTTTGGTGCAATGGTCATTACTTTCATGAGGGAAGACAAATTTATAATCATTCACTAATATCTGCCACAAATGAACAATATCTACATAACCTTGCCCATGTGTTTTTATTTTTGACAATGCAGGTAGGCTCTCCCGCATAACCGACATATCCTGAGCTATACCAAATCCTACATCATGTATGCAAAAATATATGTAGTTTGTATGTAAGCATACTATATTTTTTATTAATTTATTATGACACCTAATTTTTATTTATAATACAAGAACAAGTTGGAATTTACCCAGTTTTAAAATATTCTTGTTCTCAAATAAAGTTAGAGCCAATTCGGTCCATAATTCCGGTGACTTATTTCCCATTGTTGTTACATCCAAGATGTATACATTAGTTTCTGTAGCTATTTGTATTAAAGCTATCTCAGTTTGCTTTGTGCCTGTTGATAAATAAAAACAGCTTGATTTTTTATAATCAAGTAACTATAGAAACAAACTTTAACAATTAACTTCAGATATTACCAAAACAAGGCTTCCATTCTGAATCGATACCAACAATAAAGACACTTTTTAATCCAGTGTCAAGAAATTCTTCGAAACTTCGTGCGTTATCTATTATTTTAATAGAATCTTTTGACAATCTTAGTTCATGACAATTTGTAGTATCCGTATTATCTTCACTGTTGCTTATTTCACTTCTACTAGTCGATGCTCCTTCATTTATTCCTTTATAATCAAACAGTATAACTTTGTACAAGTGATATTGAAATACAGAAAAGATTATTACCTTCAGGTTCAACATGTTCTTCTTCATACACAATTGCCCATGGCCATTGCTCTTTAGGTATGTTAAATTCTTTTGCCCAATACAAGCCTTCTTTTGTATCTTGTGCATGAATTAATAATCTTATCATATGAAGCTGTAATTTAATATCATTTCCTATAGTTTCTTGAACCATCTCCCTCCAACTTGGTGTACCTTAATTTAGTAAGTGATGTATCATTCACAGTACTTAATAATTGTAAATTATATAAAGAAACAATGAACCTACTTAAACTACCATCCACATATCTTTTATGTATTAAAAATTGTAGAGCCCCTTCACACCTTTTTCTATTTAAATTTGGACAAAATTCAGGTGGAAGGTTGTACAATTTAACTAAACGTGCAATCAGCTTCGTCATTGGTTTAATTTGTGTTGTCGACATGTTTACATGTTGGATGTTTTTTCTTCTATAATAAGATAAGCATTTTATTATATTTAATATTTTTCTTTCTTATAATCATCAGAACTTACTTAATTAATTCATCTAATATGACATGCATATGAACATCAGGTCCAATTAGGTTATCCAGATATGTGACCAAAGCCTTTTGCATTTCTGGACAATTAGCCAGTAGTTCTTCTACTATTATTAACTTATTTTGTAATGTTAGAGGTAATAATAGTGTTTCTGGATTTGTAAAACGATCTTGTAATTGCAACATAATTACATACTGTGCAGCTTCTTTATACTTTTGTTCATCAATCATTTTCTAGAAGAACACAATTGATCACACAACAACTAAATGATAAATATTAAAATTTTTATCATATAATTATACCTGTATTATACTAAGAAATTCCACATTGTGGCTAATAAAATCATATGTAATTGCAACCATTTTAATGAACTGCATATTATTTTGTGTAGTGATTAATCGAAATGTTGCTAATTTTAAGTCCAACTCTAAAAAATGTTCGTACATATCTCTTCGTGGTTCTAGCCATTTTGTATATTCTTCAATTACTGCAATGCATAAAAATGAATTAACATTTCTTCTAATACAATAAACATTAAAAACTTTGATATTTATTCATAATATTACTTCATTTTTGTATAGGTATCATCATAAAATATAAACCTGTAAATGCTAACGATGAATTTGGTTTCATATGCTTAAAGTCTGAAGTATTTACTAATATTCGTATCGTGCTTAAATATGGGTTTGGTGCACTTTCAAAATATTCTATCAATGTTTTTGTTACACTATCACATTTCTTCCCTGTAAAATGTATAAAGCATGGGTAATATACAAAATTTTGTAGTTATAATAACATATATTTAACTTACACAACTGCCATATGTGATTTAGAGAATGAAGCCATTCTCTCGTGGTATCATCTATTAACGAGAAAAATGTTAAATCATCCGCAAAGGAATTGTCACTTTTTTGTATTTCGGTTGTCATTGTTCAAAGTATTATATGCCAAACAATATATAACCGTAAAAACATATAGAATTTATACTTTGTGGAATATTAAGTCGTTAAAACTTGGGAACAATAGAACCGACAGTGTGAATAACGTTTTTGCTTAAACATCAACCTATCGTTTCGTGACCACGAACACTATAAAGTACATTTGACGAAATAATTTATTGTAAAGGGAAAAGACAATTCGGTACTATCGATACTGAGTGTGAGTCACATAAAGCAAAACGATGGTATTAAAATACCCTATGCATAGAATTTTTAGTATCGTATATATAGTTCTTGAAAATAAAGAGTTGGTAATATATCTAACCTAACATAGAATATATAAATATTTTAGAAATTTTCTAAGCAAGTGCATAAATATATATAAATCCTTCGATTATACTCTATAAGATACAAGATACTTTTTATATTAAGAACATTATTAACACGAAATCAAATCAATTCAATGTTTTTCGTTAAATTAGATGTACTACCAACTGCATATTTTTTAGGAAGCCCCGCAAAACCTAAACACAATCAAAAGTTATTCATAATATTATTGAAAAATATAAGTATTCAAATGTAATTTCCCTTGGTATTAATAATTGCTTTCATTCAAGATATACGGAAGATTTACTTTGGTCAAAAATAGGTAGAGTAGAGAATATTGTAAAGTTAGGATAATCATTAGGACGATTTCTATGTTCAATCGCGAATTCATTATTTTGGAACACGTGATCGAAGTTATTTTGTTTACGGGTAACTGTTATTTGTTATTTCATGGAAGTTTATAACTGTTCATGACATAATGTAATGAAGCGTAGTGAGAAGTTTGCGTTTTTCGAAAGGCAATTAAATTCTTTGAAACTCGACTTTTACTTTATCTTTGATCGTTTGAAATATGATGAAACAAAAGTTGCCGAAAAATTGGATCGTATTAAATTCCAAAACACACCCTGACAGGGTTTATTATTTTAACGTCAAAACAAATAAATCTTCCTGGGAGAAACCAATGGAAGACGAGTCTAAGCAGGTAATTAAATATATTTTAATTATTAATCGTAATTATAGTAAGAAATCAATGATATTTCGTAAGTATTTTTAATTATTTGTATTATGTTCATTAATGTCACAACAGTTTTGAACAACTAACAGTATATTAATATACCCTTATTTTTTTCATTTTTATTACATAGGTTACAAAGAAATCACCAGAACCTCAAAAAAAACGTAAAAAAGCAACTCAGACAAGCGATGAGGAAGTACAACCTACTACTCCTGAATACAATGTATCTGAAACAGAAATTGGCGGAAGGAAGAAACTTACTGCAAAGAGATCTTTACGACATACCCAGGGAAAGATTATCCAGGAAAAAGTTGATGAAACAAAAGTTAATAAAGAAAAAGAAACACCACAAATGCAAGTACTTCGTGAAAAATTATTAAGGAAAAAAGAAATGAGTCCTAAATCTCCTATGAAAGATAAAGATAGTATGAAATCACCATCTGTAAGATCTGATCGAAGCAGCTCGGTACATAAGCCTAGCAGTGATTCAAGTTCACATACAGTTTGTACCCCACAAATGTTGGCAGTATTAGAAAAGATGCAGAAGAGAAATGCAAAACGTGGTACAACCACAAAGAAACTAAAAGGAAGTAAAGGTAATAACTCTAAATCTCCAGAAGAAAAACAAACTAAATTGCGACCATTAAAGAACAGAGGTATATATAATTACTAAAATTAGTACAGATAAAAAGAACAAAGATGATTAAGTTTGTCAGTGTATTAGAGAAAATATTTTTAATTATTTTATACATTATTTTGGTAATGAAGTAAATAACTATTTTGTTTTATGTATTATAGGAAGAAAAGAAACAGGAAAAAAAACAGACGAAGAATCTGATTCAGTTGGAAGTGCATCTGTGAGACAAAGTCAAAGGCCTCTGAAAAAAAATTTGGGAAAGGAACGTATGGAAACATTACGCAAAAGTTTAACATCAACCATTAATAATAATGAAACTTTGGAGGATAATAATTGTGTATCTATAATTTCTTCTGTAATCAATAAACAGGGTAGGTGTTATAATATATTAAGACGCAAAATTTGTATTATATTTATTTTTTGAATGATTATGTTAGGCAAGTTGTCAGATATATGTAAAAATGCGGAAGTTAGACTGATACGTTTGAAGGATAAACTTACAAAGGATAAGATTACCATTAACAAGAGTTCACAAATTAATGAAAATAAAGCACAAGAAAAAGTGTCGCAGGAATTCGAAACAACGGTAGATAGTTTAGTCAGACGTTCCAACAGAGATTCTTTTTATGAAGAGATGGATTGGGAACCACTGGAAGACGAGAAAATTACCTATGAAGTAATATCAATTATTCACTAAAACTGAATATATTAATAATATGTATGCATTGATAAATGCTATTCGTATTATAGGTTCAGGCTGTTAGAACACAACTTTGTATAGAGAATAATACAAATACACCATGTAATATACCCAGTAATATTTTGAAATATCCGTTGCCTGCTGAGCAACAAGAAAAAAGGCAAGTGTATATTGTTGTTGATACAAACGTATTTTTGTCGAACATTGAAATGATTGATCTGCTAAAAGAAACTACCTTCAAAACTTATGATCAACCGCTAATCGTAATACCATGGACGGTAATACGTGTAAGTAATTTAATTTAAGAACAACTAATATGTATTACATAAGGTTTTTACATTTTTTTTCAATAAACGTTTGATTTTAGGAGCTTGATTACATTAAAACTGACAATGGTAGAATAAAATCATCGGCGTTATGCGGTAAAGCGAGAAAAGCTGTGAATTACATTAATAATCTTTTTTCTTCCAAACATCCACGAGTGATTGGTCAGACGCCAGAAGACGTTGCAAAAAATAAAGAAAAATTTTCTATTGATTGTCCAGACGATGAAATTTTGCAAACTTGTTTGCAAATTCGTGATTTGGGAAAGTCAGTGGTGAGTTACTGATTGCGTGGCGTATTTTAATTAGTAAGTTTAATCGCTGTTCAATATAGGTTTTATTATCATATGATGTAAATCTCTGTACTAAAGCAATGATTCATGATATTGTCACACTTGGACGAAATGACCCCCTTGAAAAGATCGATTATCTTCATGCTTCCGATTATTTCAATGAATCTTGTACTTCACTTAGTCCAGGCAGAGAAAGATCAAGTTTAGGATCTACTTCGATTTTAAGTACAGAATTATCTGTATCGGACGAGATATTCGAAGACACAAAAAGTATTATTAGAGACTTCCTGACAGTGGCAAGTACAAATATAATAATATGTAATAAAAACCAATTATCGCATAAGAATTAATAAACATTTTGTTTACAGGTAGTCAGCAAAGAAATGCATGCATTGTACGGGGACTCTTGGGAAAAGTATGTTATTATAAAGCCTCCTTGGACAACAGTAACTGTATTACAGTGTGCCATAAAACACTGGATAGCAGCTGTAAGCGAGTCATTTTTAAGAAGGGCAGAAACTATCTTAAAGGAATTGTTAGAAATATTTAAAGAGACATCTGGTACGTTCATGAACTGTTTTAATAGCAAAGTAATTAGAGGAATTAATTTTAAATAATGCAAAAGTATTCTTTCAGGAAAGAAAACATTAAAACAAACTAGCTGTATCTTGAACAAATGTAACGACTTGGTTCAGATGGTTAACGTAGATAAACATCCTGATTTGATGTTACGGGTGTCCAAGAAAGTCAACGTAATTAAAAAATTAATACAACTTTTTCAATTGCATAGTTTTATTAAATTATTTTAAAGCAACTTAACGTTTGTGATTCTTTTATTATTTCTAAAGGAATTGTTACAAAAATGCCATGATTGTGAATTGAAAATAAACGATCAACGATTACGAGATGAAATTGGAGTTGAAAACGATGCTGAAGAGGAAGAACACAGGGCAGAAAAAGCTTTCCGCTACTTTGAATCTGCATACGTTTACGCACGTGACATGTGGTAAGGTTTACAATTATAATTCTGTATTCAACTGTTAGACATTAGTCTGTAAACATATTTTTCTGTTGTGTAGTGGTTTGGCATCCGAAGCTGTAGGAATGCCGTGTACTTTCCATTATAATACTCCAAACCCCCTTCCAGTTGTGGATTACGTGAAACAAATACAACCAGAACTGGCGGCAAATGTGAACCGACTGTTATGTAACCTAAGCGCGTAAGTAAATATAACAGATTTAAATCTGAGGATGCAAAACACTGGGAAATGTAGAAATACAGAATCATAAAGAAACATTCGAGTATGTCAGTAACTGGTTTTATACTGCAGGGTAATGGAACAGGTTAAAAATTCTCGTATCGATTACCGGACATTAAACAACCTACATCAAACATTAGTAACATTTCTTCCTGAAACTTCACCGGCGACGCAGAAGCTGAGCGACACTGATTTGGAGCCCCTCGACGTATATTGCTGCGTAAAACTAAAAACGGAAGTATTAAAAACTGGCTTGCGTCAACTGCAAGAACTCAGCACGCATTTTTGCAGATTTGCAAGTTATAGATGTACATAAGCACACGTTTCTGAAATAATCGAGTTCGATTAAGCTTTTTTGCAGGTATATAGATGTATGTACAAGCTTTTGTTAAACAATACTCGGTACCGGGAGTGTACAATGTAACATAACTGTAACATTTCTTGACAATTATTTCTTTTTATGTAGAAAAAAAATACCAATATTTTAAATGTTTTTATTAACAGGTCTGTATAATACAAGAAGTAACTTTTGTACAACGTGAAAAATAAAAATGCACAGCCAGCATTGTAATCGGTACTAAATTATCTGTTCCTCGATCATCTTTTTCGTTTTAGAATATACCATTTAAACGTTTCAAGTGTTTAATTTAATTTCTGTAAAGTTTCGGAAATCCTCCCGGAGGTGGTTGAAGCCAATTATCCTTCGCATAAGAAACATGTTGCGTGTCGATCACGTGGAAAGTATACGCGTGTCTTGATTTGTCACTTTTGTTCGGATACGAGAAATGTACAACTTCTCCATGAATGAGGATGCATGTTCCTTTACTGACGGGTACAGGTCGGAAATTGCTGAGCTGATAGCAGGGTGCAGGTCTGTCATAGATTACCAGCTCCTTGGAATCTGGATCTTTGTTCCTCGTGTAACGTCTGTGTACACCGCTTTTATGAGAACCAGGAGCAATCCACAGACATCCATTTTCTTGAGTGGTATCCTCCAAAGCGATCCAGAATCCCACTAGTTTCACTGGATCTGTGTATAGATACGTTGCATCCTGGTGCATGATGACTGAAAACGGTTCAATTATTACTAACTTTTGAAACAATTAAAGCAAGTACAATAGAGCTACAAGGATAAAGCCATAGGTAAAATCTTTAAATTAATATTTGATGAGTTTTGATTTTACCTTCTGATCCAGTACCAGGATTTTTGTAAATGTACATTGACTGACAAACAGCTGGCTCCTCATAATCAAGTTGGAAAGCTACTTCCTTTACTCTTTCATCGAATGTGTATTTCTTGAATGTGGGATGAAGCCAGTGAAGAGCATGACCGACCTAGTATCAAGTCAGACAAGTCAGTTCACACTGTATCTTTGATAAATTGTTAAAACTGTGATGTACCTTGTTTAAGGACACTCGGGGATGTACTTTCAACGTTCCATCATTTTCTAACGCTTCAGCCTCGAAGAACACACTTATTTTATTAGCACTATCCAGGAAATACTGATCTTTACTCTGAAACAATTGTAAAATCAAAATTTATATAACGTCATTAGATACTGGATCATAAATAACAGTTGAGTTGTTTACTTGTTGCGCGTTTACTGTACTGAAGACTTTTCTTTCACTTTCTGGAGGCAGGTTTTTCGTGAACTCCTCGCCGCAAAATTTCAGTTCGTCGATTTCTTCGGGTTGAAAGAAATCCTCCAGAACGACGAAGCCATTCTTCTCGAACTATTCAAAAACAATTCAATTTATGTTAATAGAATTGTTAAAATATATTTTTGTTTTTAAAAGAATGCTCTTTTATAACGGGGCCCGGAAAGGTATATATACGGCCCTGGAATACCTCCTCTACCTTCCTGTTATCCTGTTACATTATTTTTAGTTCGAAACATAAATCGCTAGATGGCGTTGATCCAATTTTTAATTTTCGCGCGAAACGTAACTCGATTTGTACAATTTATTATAAGTAAATTTTTAATCAAAGACCATTTAATAGAATAAGGAAATACGAACTCGAAAATTATTTTGAATGTAACAATTTTGTTTAATTAATAAGTGCATGTTGATATTAGAAAATAAAACTATGATGAATTTAGACTCGAAAATGGGGATCATCGTAGGCGACAATCATCAGTCAACCGAAGACTAGGACGCGTCTTATTTTTAGACAAATGATGTTTACTAAGAGGCAGAGACCGGCTACCGATTTGATAATTTATCGCTACCAAGCATTCCACGATGAATTGATCTATGGCCCCTTGATATTCCACGTTTCTCTACGTCTCCTTCTGGCAATCTTCACCGGTTTTTCTGCAGTCCCATCACTGATCAGACCTTTCCTTTTTCTTAAATTTTCAAATACTTCGCAAACATATTCGTGTCTCATTAACATTCAGATTTTCAAACCTTTCAAGTTTAAAAATATTCAAATTTTGCAGTTTACAGAAGTTAAAATGTAAAAATTTACAAATTTATGCACATTCAAATTTGAACATTTGTAAACTTATAAATATTCAAATTAAAAAATAGACTCATAAATATTCAAGTTTTGAAGTTAACAAATGTGCAAACCGACAAACTCACAAATTTATCAATACAATACAGGAATTTATAAACTCTCTAACTTTATTTCTATTTGACTGAACTAGTTTAACTAGAAATGGAAGAAATCGTAATTGTCCGATTATCTCAGAGATAATCCGATTCTATCTGATTCTTGCAATTATTATTTTCTTCCAGTAATTTATTTAAGAAACACGTGTTTAATTTGCTAAGTACTTTCCCCGAAGGCACACGCTAAAAAACGAGTTGAAAGGTGAATTGTCCGAGGGAGAGAAAGTTCTTCGGACACGGTCTCTCGCGAAAGAACAATTCAGGTGGTGAGGTCTGCTGCTCGTTACTTTCGACTTCTTAACGACCATGCGAAAGTCCGACTCTTGGATCTATAAAACGCGAAAAAACTACCGATGGACGTTTGTAACTTCCTCTTGCAACTTTTCAAACGGTTCGAGCATATTTGAACTTTGAATCGCTTCTAATTTTACTCGAACCTTAACAATCGCCAACTTCTACAATCCTTTCTCGGATCGTGTTTCAGCGAATCTTTAAAGTAAGCATTTTTTGTAACGCGTTAACAAGTTTACTCGACAGGGTTTTCAGTGTTGCGAAACAACTTTTTCCAAGACGATAAATTTCAAGCAGAAAAATAATTCATTATTTAAACATGCAAGAGACTTTGCATATTCTGTCATGAGGATTAGACAAATTTTTTTATGGCTAGAATTCACTGAAGGAGATATTTCTGGATAGCAATATTTCATGTTCAACATTGAACCGGACTGTTGCTGCAGTTCTTATAAGTCACATAATCTGTTAAAGTATTTGTTGAAGTCTGCATTGGTTTTCAAGATAAAGAATTAATGTACTAATTTGTCTATTAACTTCATTTTTAAGTGCACGGTAGGTTAATACAGTTGAAAGGTGCTTGGGATGCGAATGTAAACAAAATGGCCGCAAACAAGCAAGTTCCTTATTTGCGATGTAATCAGCGAAATTTATCGAACTACCTTATTGTCGAATAATTTTTTAACAGTCACTTTACTCTACTGTGTTGTAGAGATTATAAAATTGTTCGATATTAAAAAAAATTTTAAAATATACTTGATACAAATGAAACAGTACATACTTCATTTAGAAATACTCTTTTGCTGTCAATAATTATTACACAAGTTCTTAAATAAATTTATACAATTTTTATGTAAGTGGCACTTGCATATACCTGTCATGTCATGAACATTATACTTCAAGAAGAATAAAAATAATTTACGAATGTACATATTTCAAATATATCGTTTATTTGATCGTAAAAGAACGTAGAGTCGCACTTGCTTGTTTGCGGCCATTTTGTTTACATTAGCATCCCAAGCACCTTTCAAGTGTATTAACCTACCGTGCACTTAAAAATGAAGTTAATAGACAAATTAGTACATTAATTCTTTATCTTGAAAACCAATGCAGACTTCAAAAAATACTTTAACAGATTGTGTGACTTATAAGAACTACAGTTCGGTTCAATGTTGAACATGAAGTATTCCAAAAATATCTCCTTTAGTGAAGTCTAGCCATAAAAAAATTTGTCTAATAAGGCAAAGTATAATTTGTCGAAGACAATCTCGCAGCATATAATTTACGTAATCCGGTCGCGTGAACGAAAACGGAAGAAAAATGCAGGTAAGTAGGTGTTTGAATGCGAGTTACGATCGAAGAAGCCTTTTTAGCGAAGAAACGTATGTAGAGCAGAGAATACGCGTTAATCCGTAGAAAGCGTGCTTTGTTTTAATTGCTCCTCGACGTTGCGGTCGAACCTCGCATATTCACCGTAAAATTCTCGAAACGTGATCGATTTTACGATACCTTACGGCTAACCGTAAAAACGGTTATCTCGATTTCATTGAATGAAACCTTGCATTTTTTAACGCGAGTGCAGATCGCGATACGTCGTGTATTTTATTCTGTTCGAAATTGAAAAAAAGCGGCTACATTTTTTAGTTAAAATTGAAACAGACTTTTATGCGGTGCAATTTTCTGTTTAAAATAGAAGCTGTTGTATTTAACAGAGAAGCTTTGTTATATTTACGATATTTTGTTCGAGAATTGAGAAAAAAGAGTTTCGGTGAGAGGTGAAATTTGCTTGAAATTGAAAAAAGTTGTGCAAGGTAAATTTTGATTAAAGAGGAAAGCTTTATTGCAAGATGTTTTGCGTAAAATTGGAAAGAAAAGATCAGTTTATATTTTGGGAGGTGCAGTGTTAAATTTGAGAGATGTTGTATTTCACAGATTTTAAATTTGAGAGATGTTGAATTTCACAGATTTTAAATTTGACAGATGTTGAATCTCACAGATTTTAAATTTGACAGATGTTGAATTTCACAGATTTTAAATTTGAGAGATGTTGAATTTCACAGATTTTAAATTTGAGAGATGTTGAATTTCACAGATTTTAAATTTGAGAGATGTTGAATTTCACAGATTTTAAATTTGAGAGATGTTGAATTTCACAGATTTTAAATTTGAGAGATGTTGAATTTCACAGATTTTAAATTTGAGAGATGTTGAATTTCACAGACTTTAAATTTGAGAGATGCTGAATTTCACAGATTTTAAATTTGAGAGATGTTGAGTTTCACAGATTTTAAATTTGAGAAATGTCGAATCTCACAGATTTTAAATTTGAGAGATGTTGAATTTGACAGATTTTAAATTTGAGAGATGTTGAATTTCACAGATTTTAAATTTGAGAGACGTTGAATTTCACAGATTTCAAATTTGAGATATGTTGAATTTCACAGATTTTAAATTTGAGAGATGTTGAGTTTCACAGATTTTAAATTTGAGAAATGTCGAATCTCACAGATTTTAAATTTGAGAGATGTTGAATTTCACAGATTTTAAATTTGACAGATGCTGAATTTGACAGACGTTGAATTTACAGTTACAGATTGATTTTTATTTTCTCGTTGAATCACGATGGCGTGGGAGGGCCACGAACGAGATTCTGTCGTCGAAGATAATGTGCGTTGGCCTCCCTTGGCCGTTTAATCGTCACCTTAACCGTAATCTAAAAATGGAACCTCCGAGGGTCGAAAGATGGTCCGTGAGGCGACCACGTGTATACACTGAGAAATGCCTCGATTTTATAATTAAATACTTCTATGAACTCTACTCCCACGGTAGTCTACCGTACATTCCTTCGTAGTTACTGTAGCGTTTGAACGGTGATTGATTTTAACGTTAATTGCAATTTTGGAGCTGTTATGACGTTGGTAAATAGGCTGTGAGTAATAGGACGGAAATAAAAATTAGTTGTTATTTATTTATTTATTCTAGCTTGTGTAAACGTTTGGAGATAAAAGTTACTGCTCCTTGCAGAAAAGTTGTGAGTGGTGGATATTTTTATACGTAGAAATAAATATTATTTGGGTGCTGTTATATTTTATATAAAATTAATATTCAGAGAAATTGTTCAATTTTGCTAATGTTGGAAATCATTTTGTATAAACTTAATACTACTAAATAAAAATTAATAGCTATTAAACTTGTATGTTTAATAATGTATGGTTACTCAGTTCGGTACAAAATTAATCTTCAAGGAAAAAATCCTTTAATTTTATACGCAATAAACACTGAGAGATAATAATTCAGCTATAAAATTAAACAGTAACTTTATTCATATAAAACGACGAATTTCTGATTGGTAAAATAATATGAAATTCTATACTGCAATTACTACCTCATTTCCTTTGCACAGAAACAAATTATCGACGAAATTCCTTGACAACAGAGTTAAAATACCAACATCGTTAAATAAAGTATAATAAACTAAAGAGCCCTCGTTAAAATATTTCGAGGCAATCGCGTTTTATTAGAATCAGCGATATTGCATTCAACAATGATTCACGAATTCGTGGAGCGAAAATAGAGGACAATAACATCCTGCAAATAAAAGTGAAGATAACGATAATGTAATTAACTGGGTCGACAACAGTTCTCTTAATAAATGGATTGACACCGATACGATCGCTCGAAATTATATTATTGGGACAAATAATCAATCAGTCAATAACACTTTGCTCGACACAGGAGGCAAATAAAACGATAATGTCGTCGTCAAATTGTCACGTATAAAATGATAGGCTATATTGTTATGAACAGAAAAATGATTACGATAA